GATTACCGGTGATGTTCAATTTCTTTATAATTATCTTTGATATTATTTTAAACATCGTTGCATTAACGAAAATCAACAATCATTTTTACGAATAATTATATTCTGCATTTTCGTTGCGCAAATGCATCATAACATCGAGGGATCTTAGAATTGTTAAATAAATATATTCAATTTCCATGCATCAAGATAATTCTTTTATTACGTCTGTAAAAAATGTAGGTAATTTTATAAATATATGTAGATTACCGGTGATGTTCAATTTCTTTATAATTATCTTTGATATTATTTTAAACATCGTTGCATTAACGAAAATCAACAATCATTTTTACGAATAATTATATTCTGCATTTTCGTTGCGCAAATGCATCATAACATCGAGGGATCTTAGAATTGTTAAATAAATATATTCAATTTCCATGCATCAAGATAATTCTTTTATTACGTCTGTAAAAAATGTAGGTAATTTTATAAATATATGTAGATTACCGGTGATGTTCAATTTCTTTATAATTATCTTTGATATTATTTTAAACATCGTTGCATTAACGAAAATCAACAATCATTTTTACGAATAATTATATTCTGCATTTTCGTTGCGCAAATGCATCATAACATCGAGGGATCTTAGAATTGTTAAATAAATATATTCAATTTCCATGCATCAAGATAATTCTTTTATTACGTCTGTAAAAAATGTAGGTAATTTTATAAATATATGTAGATTACCGGTGATGTTCAATTTCTTTATAATTATCTTTGATATTATTTTAAACATCGTTGCATTAACGAAAATCAACAATCATTTTTACGAATATTATACATTTTCGTTGCGCAAATGCATTTAACATCGAGGGATCGAATATATCAACAATCATAATTATTACGAATGTTCAATTTCTTTATAATTATCTTTGATATTATTTTAACATCGTTGCATTAACGCGAATAATTATTCTGTATTTTCGTTGCGCAAATGCATTATAACATCGAGGGATCTTAGAATTGTTAAATAAATATATTCAATTTCCATCTGTAAAAAATCTAAGCAATTTTATAAATATATATAGGTTATCGGTGATGTTCAATTTCTTTATAATTATTTTTGATATTATTTTAAACATCGTTGCATTAACGAAAATCAGCATTCATTTTTACGAATAATTATTGTGCATTTTCGTTGTTGCGCAAATGCATTGTAACATCGAAGGGGTTTTAGAATGATTAAATAAATATATTAAATTTTCATGCAGTAAGATAAATAATTCTTTTATTACACCTATGAAAAATCTAGACAATTTTATAAAAATATGTATATACTATCGGCGATGTTTAATATTTTTATAATTATCTTTGATATTATTTTAAATTGACTAACATGTGTTTTGAAATACAGCGATGATGAGAGAAAAAAAACATTTCGCAAATATTGGTTAAATTGATTAAAGTTACGGTCAACCAATTCAATTCAGCTCTCTCTCTATATTCATACTATTGATACGGCGATTAAAGTGCATACATTATTAGCCAATTTTATAGAACATACCAAGGAAATAAAACGCGAAGCGTTTTTGTGCCGGAATGGTTGTGCTTGAATAAAACTTTATTTGAATAACTCTCCGTTCCAGTTTTAACTCAACCATTTTGTCCTTAATTTCGATCAGCTTGTCCGTTATCTGCCCCGTCGTTCCGTTCTTCCTCTTTTCTTTCTCGTCGTTTTATCATCCCTATAACAGAGGGGTAGACCTTATATTGCTAGAAGCGCACTCGAATCGACGAAATCTGATCGCCGACATTATGTGATGTTGTATCAGATTTTTGTCGGAAATCGAACAAAACGTTAATAACCATTTTTATCGATTGCTATTCAAATACAGAAAAAATCTTTTTCTTTCTCTCTCCTTCCATAATATATGAAAAAAAGTATTAGAGGATTAAATTATTCGGAAATTATTAATTGAATAAGGATTGCACATTTATTGTAACATTCTATTCTATATATCTATTATTTTTATTTGTATATAAATTAATAGTGCGATATTCTGAATTTAGTAAAAGATATAAATTTTATCTTAGTTATTTCATAGAAGCCAAACTTATCAACTCCATTTCTTATAAATCTCTTAATTTATGATTAGTGCTGATTAATACTCTAATAAAATTAAGAAAATTTCAAAAAGTGGAGTTGATCGGTTCAACTTTTGAAAAATTCGTACAATTCTCTGTTTTATTTTTTTATGTACTGTCAAAAAAATTCATATGGCGCAAAATTTATAATATATCTATAAATTTTAATCGAAACGACACTGACGTGTGAATTTTAAAGAAAGAGAGAGAGAGAGTGTGTCGATAACTTAAAATATTCTGAAAACACGTAACTAAAGAGAGGGAGAGCTTAAAGTGAATCCTCCATTTCCAATAAATCATTGCGTATTGCTCGTTGTTTGTTTAATCTGTAACTTCAGTCTTGTCACCGGATGGCTCTCCTTTCTCCACCGAAGTCGTTTCGCCTTCTTTCTGTTTTACGACAGGCGGAGGGAGGGACTTATTACCGTTGGTAATAATCGGAATGACAATATTTGGTTATCGCGACGATGGAGTCGTTTCGCCGAGGGTATCAGCTTCGAGTTGTGTTAACATTCGAGAAAGAAACACTCTCTACGTACAATATAGAAAGCCATTTGCCCTGGCATTATGTAATTTTCATTTGAATCTTCTTAAACAGATGCTCATTTGACGATTAATTTAGGACGATGATTTCTTTAATGAAATGTCGCATCGATCAGGACGATATAAAAAAAAATATCAGAATAAATATACATATATATTTATATATCAATATACTTCGAACCCCTGTTAATTAATTAATTCATTATTATATGTTTAACTTTTATTGTACACACATTTTATTATTTTCGAAAATTGCATTATTTTTTTAAGATCAGTTATTTATGCAATTCGCGTGTTTGTAGCGATAATAACTGCCAGCAAAAGCCTTCGAAATATTAATTAACGATAATAATTTAATTCCTTGTGTGTCAAGATTTAAAATTGTTATATTTATATACAAATATATATGCACTCTCTCTCTTTTCTTTGATATCATTATATCGCGCGTTATTTTCATAGCATTAAATTTCAAAGTAACTCTTTGAACATTTCGAAGAAGGTTTACATTGAATCAATATGTCTAAAGTAAATTTCCAATTTTCTAAAAAATTCAAAGTACATATATATTAAATTTATATATAATTATTATTCTTTTCACAAGGAAGAGCAAGCACATTTAACAATTGAAAGACCAGATATATTACATAAAGAGAAATCAGCTGTTAATGTTAAATGGAGCAAGCGCGACCTCTCCTGTCGTTTTAATTTTCCGGCCGAAAGTCGGAGCAAAATATACCAGCAATGTCAGCGTAACTAATAAACATTATATAAATCCAAGTGTTGAGTAATTTGTTCTATAAATAAAAAAAAACAAAAGGACAAGTACAAAAGGCCAATAGAACAACGCGATATAATGCTTAATAAACATCCATATTAATCCAGACGCCCTTTTTCAAATTCCTTTAACGAGCCCGAGCGCGACAGTCGGAGCAAAATATACCAACAATGTCAGCGTAACTAATAAACATTATATAAATCCAAGTGTTGAGTAATTTGTTCTATAAACAAAAAAAATAAAAGGACAAGTACAAAAGGCCAATAGAACAACGCGATATAATGCTTAATAAACATCCATATTAATCCAGACGCCCTTTTTCAAATTCCTTTAACGAGCTCGAGCGCGACAGTCGGAGCAAAATATACCAACAATGTCAGCGTAACTAATAAACATTATATAAATCCAAGTGTTGAGTAATTTGTTCTATAAACAAAAAAAATAAAAGGACAAGTACAAAAGGCCAATAGAACAACGCGATATAATGCTTAATAAACATCCATATTAATCCAGACGCCCTTTTTCAAATTCCTTTAACGAGCTCGAGTCGGAGCAAAATATACCAACAATGTCAGCGTAACTAATAAACATTATATAAATCCAAGTGTCGAGTAATTTGTTCTATAAACCAAAAAAATAAAAGGACAAGTACAAAAGGCCAATAGAACAACGCGATATAATGCTTAATAAACATCCATATTAATCCAGACTCTCTTTTTCGAATTCCTTTAACGAGCTGGAGCGCGACAGCGGCTCGTCCGGTCTAATCTTTTCGGCCTTCATCTTCGTCGGCGGTCACGTCATCGACTATCTGGCCGACTCTTCTTTTCTTCCCGGCTCTGCTTTTTCGTCGTTTTCCTCCTTTTCGTCGACGGGTAGCGCTGCGTAGCGTTGCCATCGCTACAGCGGGGTATCAGCTTGCCTTCTGGTTGGCCGAGGGCGAAGGCTGCCCTCCCGAGAGCGGTACCAGAGAGTACGGGGGACCACGGGTCGAGATATTGACGTGGTTCGACCGAGAGAGAGAGAGAGAGAGGGGAGTGAGAGAGTGACGATGGCATGGAGAGAGAAAGAGAGAGATGGAGGGAGGACGATGGTGAAAGGAAGGGTAGCAAAGAGAGAAGGGAGGACCGAGCACGCAGGCTCGTGCAACATGGCCGACACATGGCACCCACACGCTGCCTCTAGGTCGCTGATAACTGCGATATCTCGCCCCACTTCATCCGCTTTCCTCCTTTCTCCGCAGACCCTCCGTCTACATCCTCCTCTCCAGCGAGCACATCCGCACGATCTCTCTCTCTCTCTCTTTCTCTCCTTTGTCCTCTCTCCGTCCGACTCCCCACTTCAGATACTCCTTCCTCGGGTGTATCTCTGTCTCCCTTTCTCCTCTGCGGCTTGGAAATACCATCCTGCTCCTTGTATCCTGCTTCCGCCCGCGTTTGTGCCACATATGGCATCCTTTGACAGCCTTCATCTTCGTCTTTCCTGTTCTCTGGTTCTGTTTCTTTCATATACACTTGTGCTTCCATAATCCTCATATACGTTTCGTCTCTGTCGCGTATCCATATCTGCGAGCTTCCGAGTTTTTCTTCGTCCTTCGTCGGTCTCTCATGGTGAAGTCACACCTTGCAGTCGCCTTGGATGCAATTTTGTCCTCGTCCCTCTTCGAGATCGCACGTATCGAGATAAGGTACCTCATGATATACGCTTTATTCCCTGTCTATTCTCGTTCATGTTACTTCTCCGCTTCGTTACATTGATACATCGTGGTGTAGGAAAAAAATAACCCGCTCGCGCGATGATTGAACTAGACGGGAAAGAGGAAAACAGGGTTCAACGCGGCTGATGGTTGAGCGATTCGGGATCAGAGATTTAAAGCTGGCTTTTTATACCGGCTCGAAAGTGTCGTTGTAAAGTGTTGAAAATATAAACGTTTTTAATGGCAGAGTCCTGGTATTATATTTGGAGACGATTTTTCCTTAGTGAAAATGTTGAGGGAGGCCATCATTTTTAGCATCTTCCCAATTTTTGGTATTATGTTTCTTTATAACTAAGTCTTATATTGAAATTCTATTACAGCAAACTCTGCTTAAAATTAACTGAAGAATGTAGTTCTGTTAATATTTTATTTCCAAGAGGCTTAGTTTCCAGGAATCTGCCATTAAAAACTTTTCCGCCAGTTCTGGGATATCCTGTATACAATATAGTACAATATGTATCACAATTGTGGATGCAAAAGAACAACCCCCAAGTATTAGGGATTGTTCTTTTTATATCTTGTAATACTTGTGTCAATGTCAATGTCAATATGTAGATTCAGAAATATTTTCTGATCCATATGATGATCCACTCTAATAAAAGCATTAATTTAAATACAACAAATTTATATCATTTCCACAAAAGATTCCTGCTAAGTACCTATCTATTTGTGTAATGATTTTTCTACAAGTCACATTTACAAATTGTCAATTATATATACGTAAATTTATTGATACATTTTCCCCATAATTACAACACAAATTCTAAACATTAATTTATAAAATATTGATTCAACATTCCCACAAAGTTTTGCATTTACTCTTATATATTGTAACAGTAATATATTCTGTGTGCGTGTATGTGTGACAAACAGAACGAAATAATTGCATTATTTGACGCAAAAATATAAATAGATATTTATGATTTATCCGTATATATGCATTTCTCTCGATTGTGTTACAAAATGGTCGCCCGTGCACAATATCGAGCCGAACTTGCCAAACACGCGGCGACGACGGGGTTTAAAGCGGGCGTCCCAAATTTACGCCCGCGCGTCCAATATTACGCCAGTCCGTGCCATATTTTCCGAAATGAATTCGGCACACGTAGATCCTAATTTAGACGAGACGCGGATTTATTGCGTATATACATATATATACATCCCCATGCCATGCCGGAGCGTTCAAAAATCCTGTCGGCCCCGATAACACACAGATACATCTCAATATATATCCGGCGAATCTCTCCCCTTCGTCATTAATGCCGTTTTAATGGCGCCGCGTTTTCAATTTCACGCACGGCCGAGACGGCACCGCCACGCTTTTCCGCACGATTCCGATTGTTATTCGGTCGGTGGTTAATTTCGCGAGGCCATCCTCATCCGCGCGCGTTTCCACCTGCCGAACGGAAAACAACTCGCGAACGCCGCCTCAATGTGACGATTGTTTATACGTTTCAACAATTTGATACAGATTGCACGATGCGTATGTATATATATATATATTTTTTTTTATATGAAAGATATGGAAAAACAAATTTTCAAAAATGCAATAGCCGTGCGTTTTCAACGCAAGGCGATTGCTGTGCAAAAATGCACGATAGGTAAAAAGCTATTTAAAATTTTTCATATTTTTCACGTCAGTAATTTCGTCTTTTATTAATAGAAAAAAATTGCACGTATATATTTCTCTAATTTTATTTAATTCTATATTTTCTCGTTTTTTTATGAATATTCTTTTCATATAATTTGTCTCTGATTCTAGTGTGCAATAAATTATTGAAAAAAATTAATGAATAAAGTGTGGCTTGGATTTGTAATTGGGGAATCGGTTTTGATCCTATTAGAGAAATAATAATATATATAATTAGGGCAGGTTTTAATATTGGTGGGTCTGTTAGACATCAACTCTTGTGCAAAAAATGCATGATAGGTAAAAAGCTATTTAAAATTTTTTCATATTTTTGACGTCAGTAATTTTAGCTTTTATTAATAAGAAAAATTACACGTATATAATTCTCTAATTTTATTTAATTCTATATTTTCTCGTATTTTTATGAATATTCTTTTCATATAATTTTTCTCTAATTCTAGTGTGCAATAAATTATTGAAAAAAATTAATCCGTCGACGTGAATAAAATGCAGCTCGGATTTATAATTGGGGCATCGGTTTCGATCCTATTAGAGAAATAATAGCATATAATTAGGAACAGGTTTGAATATTGGGGGATCTGTCAAAGACGTCAACAGCTGACGTCAAAAAATTTGCACGTATATTTCTCTAATTTCAGTTAATTCTATATTTTCTCGTGTTTTTTATGATAATTTTTTTTTTATATAATTTTTCTCTAATTCTAGTGTGCAATAAATTATTGAAAAAAATTAATCCGTCGACGTGAATAAAATGCAGCTCGGATTTGTAATTGGGGCATCGGTTTTGATCCTATTAGAGAAATAATAGCATATAATTAGGGACAGGTTTGAATATTGGGGGGCTCTGTTAGACGTCAACACTTGGGGATCGCGAGAATGCAACATGTGCGGTTGCTTTTGATCCGTCACACCTGATTTCATCCCTCCGTCGATTTTTACGCCTAACGAATTGAAGTCTGTTTAAACCTGCGTTTAATCGGGGAGGGCGCCAGCTTAAGAATAATCTGCTCGCCACGAACGTTTATCCACCATGTGTTTCATCGCTGATAATCGACAAGTATATATATTAATGGCGAAAAATCGCGTCGCGGCTTTTATATCTCGTCCTCGCATAAATTTATTCTACGACATTGAAAATTCTCGGTATAATTATCTCCCGTTTTACAAATATATTTGATCGGAAAATATTAAAAAGATTTGTGAATCTCTCTTCTAGCAGTTGAATTTCGTTCGCAAAACATTTCTACTACTTGCTAAGAGCTTTTGTTTCAAGAAAGGGTGCGAGTAAGAAATATTTTCACGACAATTAATTAATGACATATGAGAATTAAATATATAAATTATTTTATTATATATTATATAATATGTATTATATATTATATATTATATTAAATATATATAAATATGTATAAACTCTCGAATTAAAAGTAAAAATATGCAATCTGATAACTGAAGTAATTTCTCGAGTTCGAGAGTTTATATACATATTTATATATATTTAATATAATATATATATATAATATATATATATATTATATTAAATATATATAAATATATATATATATGTATATATATAATTTTATTATATATTATATAATATGTTTTATATATTATATAATATGTATTATATATTATATATTATAATAAATATATATAAATATGTATAAACTCTCGAATTAAAAGTAAAAATATGCAATCTGATAACTGAAGTAATTTCTCGAGTTCGAGAGTTTATACATATTTATATATATTTAATATAATATATAATATATAATATATATTATTATATTATATTAAATATATATAAATATGTATAAACTCTCGAATTAAAAGTAAAAATATGCAATCTGATAACTGAAGTAATTTCTCAATTTCGAGGGAATATTGTATAGGAAACGCGATATATCCCGCGCAGTCTTGCCGATCAATTCGATCAATCCGTCATCCCTTAGTGTCATTTTCTAGAGCGAGTGCGTCCGAACGCGCATGACTATCATGGTCATCCCCATGGCTGGTCATCGTCCAGCAAATCCACTGTCCGTACAATCCGGCACGTCGGCGAAGGCTGCGGTTAAACTCTAGACGGCGCATTAGTACGGCCAGATAATCGCGCGTACTTGCGCTATTGGCCTCCCGCATCTGTGAATTAGATGTATTATGCCGCTTCCAGTATTCCGCGCCACGAAGCAATTCGTCCCGAGAGAGAGAGAGAGAGAGAGGGAACGTCATTTCCGGAGAACCGGAGCTTCCGGCGGTCAAGTTATGCAATGCGTTTGTTTGCGCGAGTGCGTATCGCGAAAATTTGATGATGAAAAATATCGAATTGAGCGAAAAGGCATCGATATAATTCCTGTGCCGTGTAAAAACGTCCATTTGCGACGATTAATATATTCGTCCGCCATTCGAGCCTTCCCTCCCCCGTTTTCGGTCTGGCAACCCGTGAATTTAAAATTAATTTAAAATCCTACGCGGTTATTTCGCAATTTATAAATTAATTCGGCAGGATTTGACTCCTCAACGCCAGTAAATAACCGTTTTAATGTATGCGCTATTGATTTCAAATGAGAAACGCTCCCTTTAAAATTACCGAAAGTATTTTGTAGAATTGGAAAAAAAAATATTATCTCTATTGAGACGTTGATGAAAAATTTACTTGATGCTTACAATAATTAGGTTTTGTCAGTGCATTGAAAAGAAAATCATTAAATTAATAAATATTTATTTCAATACTGCCAAATATTATATTATATAATAATAACAATATTATTATATTGTTATTTAATTATATCATTTATTTGTGAAACAAACAAATATTTATCTACTTTGAAAGAGATTTTCTTATATCAAGTCAATATTTTTTCACATCAAATATATTAGTTTGAAATAAATGATTTATAAAACAGTATTGAAATAAATATTTATTCGAATTCAATAAATTTCGTACCAACGGTAGTGTATCGTGTGACTTAATTTTCCAAGAGAATGCAATAACTCTATTCTCGAGCGGAGAAATAAACATTATCGGTTGTATCTTAACAAACTCGAGCATTAATAATTGAGACGCGCGCTTGAAATAATTCTCCGAGGCGGTGGCCGACGGCCTCGTCGATGGCGTTGAATATTTCAGCGCTCTCGACGTGTATAGTCCCCGTGAAATATCGCTCGGCAACGTGAACGGCCACTCTGGAAAATTAATATATCAAGCTGGCACGTCCGCGGAGCCGGACGTCGTCGGTTAGCAGGAAACTCGAAGAAGAGCCGTGCCGACGTGGATCCTAAC